GTCCAGGATAGACGGTTCGTCGTCATACTAGGTTAGGTATGTATTAAATCGCAAGGGTTCAATAATAAGATGAGCCTATACGTATATCAAGATCCCGGAGTGAGTTAATTCTAAAATTAAAGAAAGGAAACATAATTGTAGATCATTCTCGTGTTGGACTCAACTTATACGGAATACATAACCCCGAGACGAAGATGAAGAAAAGAATAAAAACTTGGAAAGAGTATTTTCCCCTTTCTTTATGCGTATTGCACTATTTGCACTACGTACGTAAGACATCGTATTTTGAGCACTATGTAATAGAATAACTCCCTGTTTTGAACGTGGCTTGGAATTCTGGAAGCCGAAGTTGAAAACCCCCCTGCGCTGACAACCTCCCCCTGGTGGCGGTTCATTCTCACAAGCAATTCTCTGGCCAATGACTTTAATTTCCTCCCTTGGCTTTTCCTTTTTTGACCAACCAAATTCTTCGTCTCAATCTCAAACTGGAATTACTTTGTTCTTGGTCGAGTAAATGAGCCCCTCTATAATCATGCCTAGGTACCTAGCACTACCTACATATGTACCTACCTACCTACATATGTACCTACTTACATATGTACGTATTACTTACTTTATTAATGTTCTGCATACAAACTAATGCACAAATATCTCTTGCTTCCTTTTGATAACCACTATATACTAGATACATGCTTTTTATACAGACACCTAACTAAATGTATGTTTGCGTAGTCGACGGACCGCCACGTCGGCCTGGTTGCTAGATTACGACAGTCGTTTGAGAGAGCGCAGCGCTACTCATTTACCAATTTCTTCTCGCCATGTTTCGAAATTCCAAGATGGCTGAACATCAAGCTCCTAAATCCGGCTTAGTCGGCCGTGGAGCTTGCTGGGCATCCAATAATCTGCCAAGGAGGTCGGGTTTCATATGGATTATCTTGACCTAGCCTCTTCAAACCCCCTGTCGCACCTTTTGCGCCGGGCTCCACGACGATGGCTCCGACAGGGGTAGCTAGACTGGGGTATTGGCCTCGAATGTTCAACTTGGACAGGGGGTATACGCGCAGCCAGTCAACGGTCCCTTCTTTTCATCAAGCAGAGATCTCATCAGGGGTTCTAGACGGAGGTGCATCTGCCATCTTCTAAGCTTGGCTTCCTCTCACCAACCAACCTGCTTTGACCTTCCACAGTCTTTCCTTTTTGGCGCCTTATACAACCTTCTGCTTTCAAAGTTGTCTTTTAGTGATTGTTTTTCACCCACACTCGTTTACTGGTCCAAGTAAGAACTCGTTTCATATATGCGCCGACGCCGACTCTCTCTCACATACTATCGTCAACCTTCTCGTCATCGTTGACAACGCGTCCCAGGCCCGTTCGTCTTCCATATCTAGGAACGGTCCTGGGTCCTGCTATCCTTTCACTCTTTCTTCGGAGAACGTCTTGTTGCCGATTTTCTATTCTTGCCACGGGTTGATCCTTGGCCATCTTTTGTTTGCATGCTTTTCCTTTAGGCAACAAGACCATCTCCTTGGTATTGTGCTGTTTATCGTACATCATTTCTATGTAACTACATTAAACTCCTAAGACGGTTATCCATCCAACAAATCACCAGTCATCCCATACCCCGGACGGACGCCTTTTCTTCGATCCGGTTCATTTTTGCAAGCGATACAGATTTTTAATAGGCTCGTCAAAACGGCTATCTACGCCGTGGTATACCAGGCAGCATCTAGCGATTGTTTTTTATACACAGCTGGGCAGGCGTCTACACAGGCAACATACATATAGATAACGAACAGTTTCCATTTCCCAGTGGGCTCACGATTTCCTTGGGTTATTCTACGATATAGACAAAATCCGATCAGCATGGCGATATCGAATTCGAGGTGGAATATCCGGCGAGCGGCCATATGGGCGACGGCACTTGCCAGCGGAGTCCTGAGCAGCGATGTTTTGACGACGAGCGGATTCAACAATTGCGAGGAGAATAGCAGCATTAGGGTCCAAACAGTAGAAATTTCTTATAATAATGCCGACAAGATCGTGTCTTTCGATATTGTAGGCACGAGCGACAAACGGCAAAATGTAACGGCATGGCTCTCCCTGAGCGCGTACGGGCAAGATGTTTACACAAACGCCTTTAATCCTTGCAATGAGACCACATACGTCGATGCATTGTGTCCTGGTATGCTTATCGAGCCTCGTCGATTTCTTATTTTTATCTTTTATTTTATTTTACTTTATTTTATTTTTCGAAGTTATAATGCTAACAGAAGAACAGCTCCGGCCGGTGTCTTTACTGCAAGAGGTACTCAGGCGATACCTTCGCAGTATGCTGGTGTCATTCCTGCTGTTGCTTTCCAGGTACCTGACATAGCAGCTCAGGCGACGCTAAAGCTTAAGACCTTAGATAGCGGAGAAGAAGTTGCCTGTATCCAGGCGCAAATAACGAATGGCAAGACGACCGATGTGCCCGCAGTCTCGTATATCGCCGCCGGTGTGGCGGGAGCAGCTCTGTTGCTGGGTGGTGCTGGAGCTATCAGTGCAGCGGGAGGAGCTGGTGCGGCTGGCGGAGCTGGAGGTACTATGAGCCCGAGTTTCATGGAGATGTTCGGCATTTTCCAAGGTTTCGCGATGAACGGCATGATGTCGGTCCAGACGCCACAGGTTTACCGTAGCTTCACGAAGAACTTCGGTTTCTCAACGGGTATCATCCCATGGAGACAAATGCAAGTCTCTATCGACAACTTTCGAGGAATGACGGGTGGAAACTTAACCAGGGACAGTGTTGAATTCCTTCAGAACGCTACTCTTGTCTACCCCGATGGCACAACCGCGAGCGGGAAGGGTTCGCTCTTCGGTCGTTCCGTGGCAGAAGTGGTTCACCTTGCTATTCGTGATGCCGAAGCGTCGGTTAGCGCAACGGGCACCGACGCAGAAACACCGTCAAGTACCGAAGCGACGATCCGTGCAGCTGTCTCGGGTATTCAAGGATACGTCCAGCAATTGTCTGTACCACAGTCTAACACGTTTATGACGCTTTTATTGATTGTCGCCATCGTCGTTGCTGTTATTGTTGTCGGTATCTTGTTGGTGAAGGTTATCCTCGAGGCTTGGTCCCTATATGGCCACTTTCCCGAGTCTTTGACTGGCTTCCGCAAGCATTATTGGGGTTCGATTGCTCGTGCCATCACGTCCCTCATTCTGGTTCTCTACAGCATCTGGGTTCTATATTGTGTGTTCCAATTCACACATGGGGATTCCTGGGCAGCCCAGGCACTTGCCGCTGTTACTCTTATCCTATTTACTGCCATTCTAGCTTTCTTCTCCTGGAGGATCTGGAGTATCGCGCATAAGCTCAAGAACAGCGAGGGAGACACGTCGGGCCTCTACGAGGATAAGGAGCACTGGGTTAAGTACTCCCTCTTCTACGAATCGTATAAAAAAGACTACTGGTGGATCTTCGTACCAGTTATTGTCTATATGTTCGCTAAGGGTTGCGTCCTCGCCGCCACCGATGGTCATGGTATGGCGCAGTCGATTTGTCTCTTAATCGTCGAAGGGTCAATGTTAGCCTTGTTGATCTGGAGTAGACCATTCGAGCGGAAATCTGGTAATGTCATCAACATTGCTATTGCCGTTGTGCGTGTTCTTTCAATCGTCTGCGTTCTCCTCTTCGTCGAAGAATTCGGCATCGCCCAAACCACGCAGACAGTTGCCGGTGTCGCCCTGATTGCCATCCAATCGGGTCTTGCAGGAACTCTCGCAATCCTCATCGCATGGAATGCGATTGTAGCCTGCTTCAAGCCGAACCCTCACCGCAAGCGCAGAAAGGAGATGGGTAAGTTAAACAATACCACCCTTCCCCAGAACGTGAAACTAGGAACAGCATTCTAACAGAGATTACAGAGCAATACCAGCGTGATATGGACACCTTGACGCCTCTGGACGCACGTAACTCGCTACTCCTGGATCGCTCAAAGACCAATGAGACTAGAATCACCATTACATACACCAATTCTGTATCAGACTCCAAGCAGCTGCTCGACCGCCGTTCCCCTTCACCGGATCCATATATCGGCGTCGCAGTCGAGCCATCCGATACCTACTCACCATTAAGCCTTTCGTACACCAGCAGACCCTTAACGCCCAGCATACCGATGAGAGGTCAAGACCGAAGTGCGGCTCCTGCCGGGCAACAACCGAACGTAGGGGGCGGGTATGGTGACAGCTACGGGCAACAGAATGGATATTCTGGGTCTCGCGGACCTTCCGTGTACTAAATTACTAAGTTACGGACGGGATGGGAAATAATGGCCCGGGGAGTGGCGGTGAAAGATGGGTATGGGGGGATAGGATACAGATTTAGAAGTAAAGTCCACACCTAGTAGTATCTATTCGAGACGACAGAGAAAAAGTTGACCACACCAACGGTGTACCATGGCATAATGTGGCCACGAAACGGTGTATAAAGACGACAGGCAGTCCACGCCTGGCTAACATAGATGCCTATACATTTCATTTATCTCATTCTAACGGCCGTCCCTATCTTCTCTACGAGTATATAGCTGTAACCTGTATTCAATTGTAGTGAGCGCGGCCATATCTTATTATTATTCCTTTGAAGTTTTTGATTGTTAATTTGTATAAGTGCGGGTTTGGGTCACTTATGGATGTGTTGCTTATGTTGATTATTTTATAAAGATTTCTTAATTCATGATTGGATTTGATGTAAATGAGAGTCTTGTGGCCTAGGTACTGGATAGATTGAGGAATGATCTCGTAGTTGTAGATGCTAAGGTTATTTCAGTATTTCAGTATGTATCTCGGTACGTGTATCTAAGATGAATGAGATTATGTAATGTTCGATTATCTAATTGAATGTGGGATGAAAAGAGGTACATAGGTACCTACAGTAGGAGCTTGGACCATCTAGGAAGAGCACTGGAAGGTACCTAAAGTACCTAACCTAAAGTAACGACGCGTGAGGCCAGCTGCCTTGAGCTTTAGACCAGACGTCAATCATTTCGCTGCCCTGCGCTCTTCTACACATCCATCCCGATTGTAACAAAACCAACATCAGTTCGACTTTTCTAATTACATCTAGCACCCGTCCCGGATACTACTGCCTCGTCTAGATATTGGCCATGGATACCCTCGTAGCCAGGTACAGTCGCCCGACTGCTTTCCAGAATGAGACCTTCGCAGACGAAGAGCAAGAAGACCTCCAGAACGATGTCGCCCCGGGCCTATCTCTCAAATTCGCCATGCCGCCTGTAGCCCAAGTAAGTGGTATCCTATAAATATGCCTAGCTTTTAATGGAGGAGAGAAGAGAAAGCGAAAGTAAAAGCAAACAAAGCTAATCGATCTTGAAAAAAATCCAGCCCTCAGCATGGCTCCGCGCAGCAACAGACGACCGCTCAAACCCCGACTGCCCTATCAAGATCGCTCACGGTACAACGACCCTCGCTTTCCGATTCCAGGGCGGTATCATCGTAGCGACAGATTCTCGAGCTACGGCCGGCAACTGGATCGCCTCGCAGACCGTCAAGAAGGTCATCGAGATTAACAACTGCCTGTTGGGCACTATGGCCGGTGGTGCCGCCGACTGCCAGTACTGGCTCGCCTGGCTAGGCATGCAGTGCCGCCTACACGAGCTGCGTCACAAGCGCCGCATCAGCGTCGCCGCAGCCTCCAAGATCCTCGCCAACCTCGTCTATCAATACAAGGGCATGGGCCTGTCTATGGGAACCATGTGTGCCGGTGTCACCAAGGAAGAGGGCCCCGCTCTCTACTATATCGACTCCGACGGAACCCGACTTGCCGGAAACCTATTCTGTGTTGGCTCCGGTCAGACATTCGCCTACGGTGTACTCGATGCGGAGTACCGCTACGATTTGAGCGAGGAGGACGCTCTAGAACTAGGCCGCCGGAGTATCCTGGCCGCTACGCACCGAGATGCGTACTCAGGTGGTTTCATTAACCTTTACCACGTCAAGGAAGAGGGTTGGGTCAAACATGGCTTCAGCGACACGAACCCGATATTCTGGAAGACGAAGTTAGAGAAGGGCGAGTTTACCAACGTTACCAGCTCCCTGGACTAAATCAAGGTTTTGGTTAGGGATGAATTATTACGAAGGGCATGCTGGATGATATCAGGGAGCATCAGCTGGCATGTCGTAAGGGAGAAAGGGGGGAAGTGCAAAACAGAGCTTGATAGACTATCTCGGTACCTAACCATCTCAGCGAATTCCCCCGGGTCACTACCTAGGGTCCGCTGCGTAAATGTACAACAATTAAGGAGTCAAGACCTTCTGCCCCCTTTCTACAACTAGATTCGCATTGCTTTCCCTAGATAGCCTAACTCCAGTGTATGCTATAATACCATGCTATGCAATATAGTACAGATAGTATTCGTACAAGATGGTCCGCTTTCCCCCGATCATATGTAAACTTCTCTCTAAAGGGGTATCATGATTTTGTCTCTTCGACATTCTTCCAACCCGGGACTCCTAGAATACCACCATCCTCAGAATTCGGATCAAGAGGCCACTTCTTGATAGCAAGGACGTCTAGCTCGCTCCGCCAGCCTGCTTCGTACATCTCCATACCGGTCCACGCTATCATGGCGCCATTATCAGTGCATAGCGGTAGCGGCGGGCATACAAGTTCGATATGGCTGTAGCCACGGACATCCAATATCCCGCGTAGAATATGCATCAGGTAACGATTACTTGCAACACCACCAGCCACGACAAGCGTGCGGACATCGCGCAGCAGCGTACTATCCTCCCCCTTCCCCTTCCCCTCATATGCTACCCCGCTCTTAGAAAGCGCAAGCAATAACCGGCTCGCCAAATGCTCAAAAGCAAGCCGCATCGTATGCTGAGCAATAAGCCGGCGCTCCGCAAGCTCCATATCCGGGTTCTCCAGCATAACCTTGATGACCTGTCCGTTCAGCCCCGCGAACTCAAACGACATGTCGACCGACTCGGAGAGCGGCGGAGTTAATTTCCAGCCGAACCCGGGATCATAGATCTTGATCTCTTCCGCGCGTGTGGGGGGTGGGGTGTACGCGTAGTCGGACGGGCCGTTTGGAAAAGCGAAGCGCTCGAGGTGCGCGGCGTACATGACGCCGTTGCTGGCGGCGAGTTCGGAGGCGGGGATGATGTCTCGCGCGCATTTGTCGAGCATGTCCCCGATGGCGATGTTTTGGGCTTCGGCGAGGATGGAGTGGTTGGTGAGGGAGCGGGATAGGACGAGGAGGGAGTGGCCGCCTGAGACTAGGAGGGAGAGGAAGGGGAAGGCTGGAGTTAAGACTTGCTCAGGGGTTTGATCTCGACTTGGCGGTTTATCCTGTTCTCCTATTTGTGTCTGCCCCTCCTTCTGCGCTCTTTTCCGCTTTCCAGCCTCGAGAGCGCTGACTAGTCGCGGCGTCAGCGCGTGCGCCTGCATATGGTGAACGGCTAGCAGCGGTACACCCCAAGCGACGGCGAGTCCCTTAGCCGTGTTGAGACCCGTCGATAGGTTCGACATCATGCCCGGGCCGCGTGTGACCGTGACAAAATCGGGTTTCCTGCGCGGCCGACCATCGACCCAAACTACGTCTCCGCTCGTAGCCTCGTCTCTCGTTTCCATCACACCTGCGTCAGGAAGCGCGCGCATAGCTTCCCTCACCATCCCCGCAAGGTGTTGGGTATGCGACGCAACAGCCGTTATAGGGCGCACGCCTCGAAACTGCCGGTTATCAGACGTGATCTTCTTGTCGAAGAGGAGGCGCGCTGCTCCACGGCCAGCGCCATGGTCTTTCTCCAGCAATGTGACACACGTGTCATCGCATGAGGACTCAATGGCGAGTGTGAGGAGAGGCCGGGAAGATAGCGGGCGTCGCTGCGACCCTGAGAAACGGCGGGTATACCATGATAGGTTTTCTGTTGGAGGGCTAAGACGGGCCAATACCGGCGCCAGAGAGCGTGGCCGCGTTGCTCCCAACCATGCTACACTCATTAATCCTATGATATAGATGATAAGTGTTGAAGAACACGATAGGATAAATCACGTTATGGGCATTTAATGGTTAGAGTGGAAAGTCAATATTCTTTTCTCTTATCTTATCGCAAGTACCCAAGTATCTAAGTACCTATTACCCCTATTTCCCCTATTCCTCACCCTAAGAGATACTGAAGGTATATGTTTGCTACATACATAGCTAATCTTATTATCTATCTAAACGCAGCATATACCTAATAGTATATGATGGGGTAGCTTATTTCTGAGGTAATTACAGGGTAAATAGTTGGTATAAAAACTTATCAGTTCGAAGAGACTCGTAGGCTTACTAGTTGCATTATTGATGAGAAGAAGAGATATGGAGCAGACGATCAAACGTGCATCAGAATCAGAGAAGCATTAGAAACCATTACGGAGAAATCAGATGGAAAGTTTCTCTTTGAGACGAAATGATATTTAGTACTAACAGATACTAGGAATGTTCATCTACGCTAAATTAGTCCTGCAGATGGTGAAAGATCAGGGGACTCTCTACGACATCGAGATGCAGATGGAAAGTCTCCCAGATGGGCTAGACCAAGCGTAAGTGGGAAGAACTCGGCATAGTTTCACGGACACTCACGGACTGCTAATGGTCTTATAGTTATGGCCGCCTCCTTGATAGGATTAAGAGTGGACTTACACAGGCTCTCCGTGATGTTGTGCGTGCTATATTACAATGGATAGCTTGCGCCCAAAGGCCCCTGAGAGAAGAGGAGATACTACAGATACTAGCTGTAGAGCCCGGAAAGCCTGATTTCACCAAGGGGCGCAAGGAATTCCGCGATATTTGTAGGGCATGCGGTCCGATTATTGAGGTTCATGGAGGGTTTATTCGGTTTGTTCACTTTTCCGCTAAAGAGTAAGGGTCACATCTTAGGTCCCTGCTTTACAAGATTGTTAATTTGATTTAGATACCTTCTCCACGAACAAAGCGGTATTTACCTGAACCTCACTGAAGCACATCTCAATGCCACTCTACTCTGCGCAACGTACCTGTCATTCTCGTCGTTGGATCCGTTATTCTATTCTCGGCCGGAAGTACAGAACGATATCCAGAGGCGAATTATGAGCGGCGATTATGTTATGTTTGAATACACGTCGGTGGCGTTTCTAGAGCATCTTAAGACATACTTACAGAGTCGGGATCTAGATATAGAAATTTCTCTCGTCACAACTCTAAGACAACTCCACAAGGTCCGAGGCACCGCTCCCACCAATAGTGACCATATCCCAACCCGTTTTATTCGCACATTCAAGGATTTAGCCGATGTACCCGAGCTTCATGTCTTTCTCTCAACCGTAGCGTACTCTCATACACAAGCCCGGCTTGGGTTAACTAACCGAGATGGTAAGGATATGGTATAAAGCTTATATTAGCGATGCTAATATTATCCCCTAAACATTATAGGTTTCTCAATCAGCGATCCTCTCCAGATCTTCTTAGCTCGGCGAAGACTTCGGCAAGCCATAGAAAGCATGATATGTCAGGGGCCGAACCATATACCCGACTGTCGTTGCGATCATCTAAATCATCTTTACGGGACGAAGATATATCATTGTGATCAATATTTTTGCTACGCATACCAAAGTGGATTTGAGTCGAAACAAGCCAGAGATCGACACTTGGAAATTCACAAACGCTCACACAAATGCCCTGTGGAAAACTGTCTATTTTCAGAGATAGGTTTCCATGACGCAACAGAGTTTGATAGGCACACGCGCGCAGCACATCCCTCAGGGACCCTCGAGAGGAATCACGCAGGCCCTGGCGCGTTACCCATTCAACCGTCAGATGATCTATTCAATATCCTTTGGAGTGCAGTGATACTAGATCAGCGGCAAATATTCGAAGAGATGCTGATTGGAGTACAAGAAACTACTTTCTCGAAATATACATGGGACCGGCTTATATGTGAAGCTTCCTCGAAAGCTTCCTCAAATACTTTCTCCTGTCTACTTGACCAGCCGTGGCTCGATTTGTCGAAATATCCGTTGGCATTGACAGCGGCATTAGAGGCAGAAAACGTCCCAAACATCAAGCTCTTGCTCTCTCATGGACTAAATATGTCAGAAACCTCACCTAGTTTATATGAGGTAGATGCATTCGAGTCCGTCAGAAAACCACTCGCGAGACAGCCGAAACTTTCCGGATACGTTCATGCGTTAAGAACTTGGAATCCAAAACTGATAACTTGTTTAATCCACGAATGTCAGGTTGAGTTCCCTGAGCAAATTGATGAACCAGGAATGATCTTCAGTAGTCCTCGAATTGGTTTATATACCCCCGATGAAGCGATGGGGCGTTTTAACGAAATAAAACAGCACATCATTTGGCCCGAAGCATATGTTCGAGGTGTTAGGCAAGCCGTAGAGAGTGGGTGCGCTGTTGCTGTTAGGATCTGTCTGGAAAACGGAGGTAACCCGAATGCAAGCCACCTTATAGAAAGTCATAGTAAGAAGGGAAGGAGCCTATTGTTTCACGCAATTTATATAGGAAACGAAAACGGTGCCGAGTTAGTGAAGCTACTTTTAAAGCACGGTGCAACGGTAGAAGGGCTAGATCTTCACATGAAAGGGGTGGGCAGAAAGATGGCGACGATCGAGAAATGCTTTGGATAAAGAAGTTGTTCGCAGAATCCAGGCAGGTGAGGACCTTGCTATAACCCCGTCTGGAAGGAAAAAGCGAGCGTAAGGTCTGAGGGTTTAACGAAGTAATGGAAGTAATAATTTGATTTTGGGCGGATGTAACTCCCTTCTGTTATTTTGGACTATATTATATTATACATGTATTAGTTAGGCATTGACGCCAACTAGAAGATAATTTAATCGCTCTTAGATAGAATTGTACATTTGATATCCTACATCTGTTAGTCTTGCTTGTAAAGCCCGGAAGATTTCCTATATTTTTCCATAACTGACCTGTAGTATGGTTCTCGCCTCGTCCCGGTTAGCCGCAGAATCGTCTAGGGAAGAGGCAATGAGATTCGTCTTCCATGACTGCCTTTGTAGAATATACTATGTAGCCTCTATTAGCAAGGTCCATCTTTGTCCATTTCAGACTTGCCTGTTCGACCGAATCCGAGCCAGACACAATATAGCGCGTGGTTATAACTTCGTTCTCTTGTCCTAAACGATAGACGCGGTCCATGGCTTGCTGTTCTATCAAGGGATTCCATCCAGGTTCCATTATGTGCACGCGGATAGCCATAGTTAGATCAAGTCTATCGGTAAGTTAGTTAATCGCGAGACCTATTATATATTTGTATAGGGGTCAAGTTCTTATATGTAGCCTACCCGACCGCAGCACTTCCCAGTGAAGCGAGCAATATAGTGCACTTCTGATTGGTGCGGAACTCTTCAAGTGCATAGCGTCTCTGCGCCAGACTCTTACTGCCATCAAGCCTTTGGTACGTAAAAGAGTTCAACGATAGCGCTCTGCCAATAAGATCCAACATGCCTGTCCATGTCGAGAATATGATGCTATGTTTGGTCAACTCCGTTAAACTGGAAATATATTTGAAGGTAGCTTACCTCTTCGCTGGTCGCTGGTTAGATGCAATTGCTACTGTATGATCGTTTTGCAGGTTTTGCAGCAGAGCCTTCACTTTTGATGAAGGGTGATATCTCGGTGGTTGAATTTTAGAGCCTTTCGCCGATCTTATGTTATCATCTCCCTCTATGGTAGTGTCATTGCACAGAGGGCAGGTGAAATAACTACTATCATCGTAGACACTGCTGCTTTGGTGGCATACCTGACATACCTGATGGAAACATGAAAATACATGATAAGACGATTCGTCTTCATGGTCAAAAATCTTGCCACAAATTTCGCACCCCTGAGATTGAGGATAGGTAGCATCTTTAAGCCAATCTTGCAGATCTCCAGGAAGCAAGTCGCTACCGTGGTTACAAATCTGCCGAAGCCGGAGAATAAATTGAAATGTATTCATGATTGCTCCTCCTGACTCAATGGCTAGCGCGAACCCCCTTTTGACCAAGTTGTAGAGTGTTTGCTCTTCATCATTCAAGTGAACATAATGGATGAGATCTCTCCGTGGAGGGAGACTAAGATCGGTGTAAACTGCTGCTTTCGTTCGGCGGAGGGCGATTGATTTTATTAGTGACCTAAGTCGCCCCCATCCACCTTGTTGTTCTTTATAGATCGGGGCCAAGAATGTGTGTTTAAATATATCGGGATCATTGAACGGATCGACCCTTAGAAATTCGACAAGAGCACCTAGGTCCTCTAAGCGATTCTGGATAGGCGTGCCCGTCAAACACCAACGATGTTTGGCTTTGAGCATCCTCACCGCCTGAAATATCTTTGAAGCACGGTTTCTCACGATATGTGCTATAAAGCCTTTCAGTAAAACAAAATTAGTGGTGGCAATCGCTGCTTACCCTCATCGAGAACAACACGATGCCAGTCAATGCCATAGAGAAGCCCAGACCGCCCAATCGAGGCATTTCCACCTGGCAATTCGGCCCTGAGAGTCTCATATGTCGTAAAGACGATATCGACTCTTTTGAGAGTTGCGGCAACCTTGTCTCTCGACGACCCATGATAGATGCTATAGCTTAGGGACCCTTTCTTAAAATGTCTTTGATATAGTTAGATCGGAGTTGATAGCAACTATCAGCGCGATGCATACCTTTCTATCTGGCCTTGCCAACAAGTAATAGCTAGGCTACTTTAGTAAAAGCAGTCTAACGAGCTGTAACTGCTAGTACTTACTTGACACGGGGCAAACTATCAGATTTATACAGGGCCCCTGACAATGGTCATTCCTGTTTTCATTATTTAGAGATGTTGCGATGAGGGCTAGGGTCGTAAGCGTTTTTCCGAGCCCCATTTCCTTGAAGTATATCAGTAAAGCTCAACAAGCTACGGAGTGAGTTCTCACATCTGCAAGAAGACCGCCAAGGCAGAGCTTCGGCTCTCCGGTAGCGTGTCTTTGAGTCACCGTATTATAGAATCTGTGCAGAATAAGTAACATGCCAAACGGGTGCTAGTTAGCTTCCAAACCTAAAGGAAGAAGACGTCGCATCAGTCTTTTCAACCCAAACAGAAGGGAACTCCGCATTACGAATATCTCCCGACTCCTTCTCCATCATCATAGCGAGCGCTTTACTTTGATACCTGGCTGCTTCTCAGTTCACGCCATTATTCCAAATATATTCGAATACTTACGGCTTTAGTTCTGTAGTAATAACCCTTGAGGTTTGTACCCTCCTGAAGTTGGTGGGCCCAGTCGCGCAGTCTAGCAACTCGGTGGCTTTACTTTTGTCGCTTTTGTCCAGAATGGTATATCGCGATGGGGACGTTTCGGGGTCTCCTTGAAAATGATTATCTTCTTTCTTGGAGTACGAAAAGCATTGGGGATTATGGTATGGTCGAAAGATATCATACGAATCCGGTTGTTGAAGGAAGCAATCCTGCTCTAGGAGCATATTCCCGATTGCGTCACCTTGTTCAAATTGCCCGTATATAAGTACCTCGATGGTTTTGGAGGTTTTCAATGATGCTTTGAGTTTCACATCGTAACTCTTCACCAGGTTAACCAAGATTTGGGCCGATATCTGATCGAGAAGCCCTCCATACGAGTTCGAATTCTCGTCTCGAACTATTACCATAGTACCGCTTACTTCAAGTTTCACGTCTTTTGATTCTTTCCCCGTGATAAATTTATCCTTAAGTTGGAAACCTTCAAGGATAACCTGACGTTCTCGTTAATGCATGGTCTGTTCAACGTGGCTGTCTTACCTACCATTCCAAAGCAAGTGTCATACGAGGCTACCTCGAGGCTTTTCCCAATCACGACAAGATCACCTTTGGTAACATCGCAAGGTACGGTGGAGCATGTTGTGGAAAAGGTACTGTCTCGAGTCTCGATTTCCAGTTGTATCTGCCTTTCATCCCCGAAGCCATTAATCCCGTAGATTTCCGCACCGATGTTGTTATCTACACTATTAGCATAAATATGTTGATTTGAGACGGTCCCTGGTACGCCCGGTCCGTGAGTCGGTCGTGTTTTCTTATGGGGATATAGAACTGTCGTAGTCGAGTCAACGCTAGATTCTCCCCATTGACCTACGGCTTCCGAGGAGCGCTTGGTCCCCGAAACAGAAGAACCAATGTAAGTGTCATCGTTGTCTTCTACCATGTTGCTCATGTCTCATCATATCCTTCTCGGGACTATAAGAAAACGAACCATTCTTGAACGAAAAATAGACTAAATGATATTTACATAACGACACTCATAGAATAAGAGGGAAAGAGGGCTAGGGGCTTAGATGTTGGTATTGTGTGCACTTGGGTTACACGAAAGCTGCAGGCTACTCAGCCCAAGCTAGGCCTCCTATTGAGACCCAAGGCGAATTCTCACCCTGCAGCCAAATAAGCACATCAGGCGCTGGGTGAGTGCAATAATCTTACGTGTAAGCCCGCACATGATTTCTTCACTGAAATCTTAATGCTGCAGAGAAATACCGTAATATATTAATCTACTACATCTTACGCTACTTACATAAAGAGCACAGCCAACATCTCCGTAACTCCCACAACCAGCATCGCAGTTATCGCATCCGCCTTCGGTACCGCTGCGGCGCTTAGACTGAATGATGGTAAAGTGTTATTCGTTGATACACCACTAGCTGCTGCTACCGCCGTGGAGCTCGCAACCTCAGAGGTTATTGGCACCAGTGAGCCCAGCGTGGTTTGCACACTAGGGAGCTCTCGCAATTCGCTCGTCGCTTCGGTAGGACGTGCTTCGATAGCAGTAACGCTAGAGCTGAGGCCGCTCGAACTGCCCAAGGCGCCGGAAAGCGACTGCTGGACCCCGGCGGTTTCGGTGCCTTCAGATCCCAACAGAGACTGGAGACTTCCAGATGTTACTGCACCGCCGGTAGGCAATGCGACGAGCCCAGTTGGTACAGATCCAGGAGGAAGATCTATATTCGTGGCTACTGCCCCAGTAGTAGCCGCAGTGACAGTGGTGTTAGAGAAACCCCCGAACCTCGAAGTGGCAACAGCTCCAGGAACATTGACCACAAGGGCCGAAGTAGACACATTCGCGAAGATCGGTGATGTAACTGTCGCCGACACATCGGCACTAATGATGCGAAAGCTTTGGATAGAAGCAGAGCTGAAAACTACCGCTAGCGTGCTCGAGTTTGCTACGACCCCGACGTTGATAGCCGCGGAAGAAGTAGCAGTTGCGGTAGGCATGATTTGAAAGCTCTGGACGCTTCCGACTAGCACTGCGGAGCTTGACGAAGATGAAGCCACGATGACCTATAAAAGGTTAGGGGCTGCAGCTTGGAGTGTCTGGCTATGAGTAAAGGACTCACCTTTGACGTCTCAAGTACCGCTGTACTTGAGGATATCTCTACCCCAGCATCCGTCGTTGTCCCAAGTGTGGTACTAGAAGTAGTTCCGGCTGCTAAGGACTCAACAGCCGCACTACTCGTAGCGGTCTCACCGGCAGCTGTTGACTCTTCTAGCCCGGGGAGAGCGACTAACTGACCAGCAGTCACTGGTGCGCCAGGGATCTGTACTAATCCCTCGGAGGATACTGCTTCAGGCCCATAACCACCTTTCACATCGGCATTCGTGCCGGATCCCTTATCCCCTCTAACATTTGGCAATTGTTGAAGTTGGCCACTGGAGGAAGATGGCACCGTACTTGGGTGGTTAGAAGTAGGGAAATTTTGATCCTGCTGAAAAATAGGGGCTGGGGTAGCAAGTACTCCATTGAAGGCAGCACCAAGTATAACAGCAAGAGCTGTGACTAGATCTGATTTCCTCATTTCCTATTACCTCTAGCCGCGTATTATATGTACGAAGAATAAACTAACTATGTAAAAAGAACGTAAATACTGCTCAACAGTACAAGCTGACCAGCAGGCGAAGCATTAAGGAGTGACTATAGGAAGGGAAGGAAAGGATAACAGGCGAGAAGGAAAGAGAACTATGAACAGAGATCTGGATGGGAGGTGAGCACCATTTACCATGTGGTTAGACGATATGTAGCTATATAATGCCATGACATACCACGCAACCCTCCGTGATTTTCAGATAGTTGCCTGAGCTTGAGACATCATCCCATAGCTTGACATGTCTTGGCATATACCCTAATAACACTAGTAGTCATCACGGCACCTCGTTTAAGCCGAGGTATAGGCATATTAATTATAGCAGTGAACCTAATTCAAGCATAGTATACTATAATCACGTCCCAGGGGCGCCCTTAGGCCGAACTTAGGTCAGAGCTTACGACGGAGAGCCACGAGGTGAAAGACTACTAAGGTCCGACATCGAGATACCGGCACGAAAGCAGAGAAATTCCAGACGAGTCAAGTAGAAACCACCCGTTACTTCTTGCCAGCATCTACACATCAAGTTAGCAAGTCGATGCGACATACCGTATACACAAGGAAAGCATTAATTAAGCAAGACATTCACCAATCGAAGTGCTCGATATGGGACGAGGGATCCGACGATGCGATACCAGGAAACGCGGCTCAAAAGGGGCCGTGCCCAACGGGCCCCTGATAGTGACGGGAGCTCGGAACTGGAGAGCATCCGGGAATCGATAGCCTACTTCAGCCTTAACGCTTCTTTTTCCGCAAATAAAATCATGTCAAATGAGGGTTAGAAGGGTCTCCGTCGAGGTCTTAGCTCTGGGACTTTGAGACGAAACCCTGCTGGTTCTGAAACCTGCACCACCAAGCAAGTAAGCCTAAAATCAACTTCAAGTCTCGCTTGGGGTTACCGAAGCCTCTAATACGGGATGGATATCTTTAAGAGATATATTGCCATTTATAGGAGTTGCCTTTAAATTACATCATACCCTACAGAGCTGAGAGGACCACCGCGATGCGATATCCAGTAGATCTTACAGGTTACGCGCTGCGATGCCAGATCACTATAACATCTTATTGTAATAGTCTTCATAAGCCATGATTTCCAATACAACTTGCTCGAATTGATGTCACTAAGCTCAAAAAAAAGTAAGATGCAGTCCATATTCTTTCAAACTCATTCCCCAGTGCGGAAGACGAGTTTACGAATGTAATCGTACATCAAAAAATACTACACTTAGGTTGAGTCCCCCCTTTGGGATTTAAGCCTTTGATAAGCAAAAAATTTACCAGTGAGACCGTCCAACGCCCTTAAACCATATCTGTCCCCCGGGAGTCTTCTTGCTATCGTAATTTGAGGCCTTCAGAGGTAATGGGCCTAATATTAATTCGCTTCGAATTGCCACAACGTCTTAGAATTACGCCAGGCTATTCTTCTTTCTCTTTCTCATCCTCAATAGTTTTCATCTTCAGGAGGAAAGGGAATACCACCGTACAGCACTTCCTAGATGTTACCTTCAGCCGGCGTGCCTCCCCCCTGCTGCGTATCCACGCCATGGAAAGCGTCACCAAACGCTGAGTCTTCCATTTCCATATCCAAACCCTCACCGAGGTCCCCAGGCGTCTCGCTAAAGCCTGCTAATGCATCTCCCGCCGTATTCAAATCATCTAATGAGCTGAAGTCGTTCTGGTCACCATCGAACCCTGCTGAAGGGGTTCCTGTTGCTGATGCTTGCTTACTCAGAGCGCCTGCGGTCCTCGGTGGATTATTGGTAGGTGTTGCACCCGCGGTGCCGTCTGGAATAGCACCGGCTTTGGGGACTACCACCCAGTCACCACTCCCTGTACCTTGGTCAGGAGCGGTTCCGGTTGACGGATCGACGACGCCGCTCATGTTTACATCCCCCGTGCTGTCCGTCTGGTTAGGGTGTAGAGGCGAAGGGGCGTTCAGGTTTGCTGGTGTAGTAACGCGGGAATGGACGCCCGAGGCCTGAGCTTGGGGGGTCGGGAAGTTATTCATTGGCGTGGAGGTAGACGAGACTCCTGTTCCAGTATGTATTTGGTCAAGGAGGCCGGCAGCAGTTCCGCCGCCCATGTCGATATCATGATCTCCCATAGTGAATCCACTATGCTGAGACCCTGCGTGTGATGGTTGGCGAGACATTGCACCGCTACCATTTGTCCCGCCGTTCTGAGGCTCTCCAAGAACAGGACCTGGACCCGAGGTTATCTGAGGCGTCGGCTCCGGAGCTGGCTCTTGATAACCACCGTCTTGTATTCTCCTCAGTTCGTATATGACCTCTGCTCGACGGCCTAGGTGCGCTTCAACCTGAGATACGATCTCATCAACCTTCTTATTATGCTTAGAGGGCCAGCGATTTGAGTCGTCTTCGCCTTCTTCGACTCTCCTCTCAAGTTGTAGTACATCAGAACCCGGCTCATCTAGAGCTGATCGCAATTCCCTTTCGGCAACGGTAAGGAGTGAGTTGTGCTTAAACTTGGCCACCTTTTTGGCGTGGTCTGCTTTCATCTTCTCAATCTCTGCCTGCGTAGAACGAAGCCGATCATTAACTCGCTTGCGAAACTCAGCAGCCTTCTCCGGATCGAACTGAGTTGCGGTAGGCTTAGAAAGGGTCTGTGTGGTTGCATTAAAACTATGAGCCTCAAAAATACCATCAGTTAAATCCGAAAGCTCTCCTTTGAGACCTAGCCCAAGATCTGAAAACCCAATCTGGCCCATTCTGTATGGGGATGACAGTATCTCTTCCATCCACTCGTGGTTCTGCCGATAGCGAGCTAAACTAACTTCACGTGGTGTAAGATGGTCAAACATGTCGCCACGAGAGGTATCTTCTTCATCGTCATACACGCCTTCTTGCTGGGAAATAGCAGGTATGGCGGAAGCTACTTGGCCTTGTGCAGCTTGACCAGTCCGCGCTCGTTTTGATGGTGGTGCGCCAGCCGTAGGGGGGTGAGCGGGATATGCCATTGCCTGCGGAACCCCGCGGGGGCCTGCGAACATGGGCTGCCTTGACGGTTCTCTTGGCCAGGCGATCTGAGGCCAGTTCACCCGGTCGCTGAGGATGAACTCCTTTCGTTGAATCTGACCACATCGCTGCAGGTAAGCGCGAGTCTCTAGGATAGATTGAACCCGAGGATCGCGCGGGATCATCTGATGGGGAATACGCTCGTTGTTATCGACGGGACCGTAGTGAACTATCCATAGACTAGGATCAACCTGAGGAGCATTCGGGTTGTGGATATTAGGAGGAATGAGGCGGAAGCGGCGTCTCGAATGTGACGCGTATGGCTCTCCATAGGCAAATCCGGCTTTGTGATAATACATCTCGAGGATCTACACAGCTTAGTTAGCATGAGCTCACAGCTCAGAATTCAAGATATGTCATACCACACCGTTTCCCACGTCCTGCTGTAAGTATTGTTCCTGGGGAGGCCAGATGAAACCATCGCTGGCGAAGTTTACACCCATCTGCTGTAACGGCTGCCACGTTAAGAAGACATTTCCATTCTCGGGCCGATCGAGATAGGTCCAAAAGAACGGTGCGGTGTCGCGGGCGATCTTGGGAGCTTGCATCAACCAACTGGTCACTTCGGAGGGTTCAACTCGGGCTTTGAGGGTGTATCTGTATGTCGAAATGAGATGCACATGTGGGAGCTAAACATGTCTATATTAGCAAGCAATTGTAACGATACGCGATCGCAAATAAAAAAATACCAAGTCTCTATGGACCCCGTAACTGGGGTCACCCATTGCTGACATTGTCGTTTGAGCGAGATAAATTTGACTATCACACTCAATTGATTAATACCGGAATTATTGGAGGTAAATAGATGGGTCCGGTATAATCTATTTGAAGTTGTGGTAAGAATAGCAGAGCGCGAGGCGCAAGGGGGGATTCGCGATGACAAGGCTGCGCGCGAAAGTTTCGATTTGATGATCGCGAAGATGCGCGACGACAAGAGCTCGACTTTCCTTGGGGGGAATTTGTTACAGGTACGAAGTACGCCTGAGGCTTGATGAGTGGTAGCTTGTGGGTCTACACGCGCTACAAATAAATGTGGCTCGAGCCAACCATCTCCGACATCTAAAAATCACGTGCATTTAGCCTACATGTACGTAGGTACCTGGGTACCTAACCTAGCCCAACAGCTCATGTTATCAACTGCATTTCACGGTGTCACCTATAAGTCGTTCCCACAAGTTGCTTTGCGGACATATAGTCTAAAATATTTATTTTTCCAAGTACATGGAAATTGGAATTTGCCATTAATTCAGATATTTATTTCATTCTTCTAAACTTGGTAGGTTGACTATGTCATGTCATGTCATAGCATGCTCGGTTTAATTCATTCCTTTTTCCATCCATTGAGAATGACCTTGCCTATACGCCATACTTACCATTGGTAAGCGCGCTCATATTCGCTCACATGGATACCATCATTTATGCTTGGTATGTGGAAGCCGACACGTTACCTCCCCGACCAGTCCAGTTAACGTGGATATATTGGCCTGCCGGGTACTTATCGTTGGCAAACTCAGGCTTAACCTGGAAGGTGTGTGCTCCGAAGTAGTCACGCTGGGCCTGGAGAAGGTTGGCGGGCAGGTCCTTGGTGCGGTATCCGTCAAACCACGATAGCGCAGTAGAGAAGGCAGGGGTTGGGATTCCGAGAACGGCAGCCTTAGCAACCACGTCTCTCCAGCCGGGCTGGGCCTTGTGGATGGCCTTGTTGAAGAAGTCGTCGAATAGCAGGTTTTCGAGATCAGGGTCGTTTCGGTAAGCAGCAGTAATGTCCTTCAGGAAGACAGAGCGGATGATGCAACCACCTCTCCACATCAAGGCAATCGAAGGCTTGTTAAGCTTCCACTTGTACTCTTTCGCGGCCTAATTACAGTCAGAAACGTCTGCACGCTTAGGGAGGGATATAAACGGATAATATGACATACCTCTTGCATCAGCATAAAACCTTGAGCATATGAGATGATCTTGGAAGCGTACAGAGCCTGCTCAAGGTCATCAAGGAATTGCTCCTTGCTGCCCTCGAACTTGGTTGTGCGACCGACGTATTGAAGCTTGGTCGAAGCCTTGACTCGCTCGGCCTTGATTGAAGACAGACAACGGGCAAGCACAGCCTCAGCGATCAGGGTAACGGGCATTCCGAGGTCCAGAGCGTTGATGGCAGTCCACTTGCCAGTACCCTTCTGACCGGCCTGGTCCAGGATCTTCTCAACTAGCGGCGTTCCGTCCTCATCGTTGAAGTACATGATGTCACGGGTGATTTCGATCAAGAACGAGTCTAGAACGCCCTTGTTCCACTTGGCCAAAACATCACCGATCTCCTTGTTGCTTAATCCAAGACCACGCTTCATGATATCGTAGGCCTAGTGGAATTAGTTTAGCTGTTTCGAGATGCATGAAATATAGGTGACAATGGGTATAAGGGCAACAAACCTCGCAAATCAGTTGCATATCACCATACTCGATACCATTGTGCACCATCTTGACGTAGTGGCCAGCACCCTCGTCACCAACCCACTCACAGCATGCCTCGTTGTCGCTCTTAGCAGCAATGCTTTGGAAGATATCTTTGATGTAGGGCCACGCCTCCTCGTTACCACCCGGCATCAGCGAAGGGCCATATCGGGCACCTTCCTCGCCACCGGAGACACCAGAACCGACGAATCGGATACCCTTGGCTGCGAGGTATTTAGTTCGTCGGTTTGAGTCGGGGAAGTGAGAGTTTCCGCCGTCAATGATGACGTCTCCCTTCTCTAAGAGAGGGAGTAGGGTCTCGATCCAGTCGTCGACAGGCTTGCCAGCCTGTACCAGCAGCATGACACGGCGGGGCTTCTTTAGCTTGGAGATGAACTCCTCGTTGGAGTGAGCACCAACGACAGACTTGCCCTTGGCCTCGTTTGCCAAGAACGCATCTACCTTGGAGACGGTTCGGTTGTAAGCGCAGACGGTGAAGCCGTGGTCGGCCATGTTCAGAATCAAGTTCTGACCCCTATGACAGATGAATATCTCCAGAGCTTACTAAGGGGTTTGAGGGGTGGGGGGGATTGGGATAAACGTACATGACGGCCAAGCCAATGAGGCCCAAATCAGCGCTTTTAGAATGGTTAGCATGGCTTCAACGAAGCGATTTGCGACGAATTCGTAGATAATAATATAATGAAAGAAGCTCGCCTTGGGCCTCCCAGAGAACTGGTTATGTTGGCAAGACGAGCCCTAGAGGCCCCGAAGAGTTATTTCAGTTACATAGGTCGCGAAGGCACTCAATTTGTTGGGATGAAAGAAAGATGGGAGTCGGCGGGGTGATGATTTTTTGATGGCGGGGTAAAAGAGTAATCATCATCGCCAAGGTAAGACAGAGAGGTATATTTTGGACTTACACGGCACCAGACATGATTGCAGCGATATTGGTAACTCAATGGTAGAGAGATGAAGTTATTTGCTAAAAGCACAGATGGAGAAGCGGGAATATAAAGAATTAATTGTAAACTGTAAACTACAGGCGGTCGCGGGAGGGAGGTTACTTTTCTATGATGGAGTTCGTCAGGAAAAGTGGGTTTGAAAGTGGATGTGATGGAGGGGTAAGTAAGAAAGTGGTGCCCAGGAGAAAAGAGGGTAGGAGGGGAGGGAATTTTGTTATTGAAATACCTTACGTAGGTATCTACAACCGGCCTATAACCCCGTCTTAGCCAACATGTAGGTTTAAGCTACTGCATAATGCCTAGGTTAGCTGAAGATGACAGGACAGCACTTGCATCCCATCAATCAAAGAATTCCCGGAAGGCACGGGTTTTTTACTGAGGACCCTTCTTTTCCATTATCCGCTACCCGTCGGTTCGCATAGTTTGTCCCTCGCCTATCACCGATTACGGATCGTGAGAATTACTTGCATGTAGTAGATATTGCACAGTAATACTTACCGATTTGCTTTTTGTGACAGCAATAATCTACCTAGTTAGAGGCAATTAAAAAACAACAACATGCCACTTCGTTCTTCTCTAACATGGGATACGCCTCATGTCGATCTTGGTTGATTCAGATCCCCCCCGTGAGACCTTAACGCCGTTTCGTAAATCCACCGGGGGACGGACCAAATGCTTGGTCATTGATGAGCCTGGATCCACATCGGGTTTTATTGAACTAACCTACCTACCTACGTATGTACGATACTATCTATATGCAATAATGGATTAGATGGCAATATACTTGTTGAGCCATCCTCGTGTAAGACCGTCTATCAGGCTGAACTCTCGGTCCAACAAGGTTGAGAAATTTGCTTGTACTTGTTCTTGGATAGCCGCTCCATCGTCAGCTACCTATGTATAAGAAACTACTAGATCGAATTCCATAATGGGTCCCCTGTGCTTATGACAATGCTTAGCAACCGAATACTCACAAAACAGCCTGCTGACTCTGTATCATTATGAGACAATGGCAATGTCGAAACACGGGAGTACCGGAAGGTATTATAGCCCCAGTCACTTATAGCAAATAATGCCCCTTTGCAGAGATCTCGGAGACGGGTCCAAGAAATAATTTAATGTAAAGACATGCTGTTTAATAGACGTCAATCCAAGCTGTGGCAATTTCGTATATATGTCCCCAATCTCACTAATTGGTTTTTAGTTATCGGGGCTTGGGGATGGTCTACGAAGCGGCGCAACAAACGACCGAGAGTAGTTGCGGTGGAACGCAGGCTAGACGAGTTAACCAGGATTGACACCAAATCCCACTCATGACTGCGAGGCTACAACAAAATGTCTCATGGGGGAGAATCGGGCAATAGATTAATGACCTTGGGCCAATCAGGGGAACCTTCTAAATTCTCGGCCCTTTATGCGGATTGCCGGCCCTCTTGATTATTATGCTTAGCGGCCTTATCAGGTGAATTGCCATCTTGGCAGTCAGGGCATTCGACCGAAAGTTGAGAGATAAGGCGGGAGGGAATATGAATATAGTGTTGATGATAAATGTCGAAATGAGAAGGTAGAATGTAAAGAATACCTAGTTAGGTAAAGTATAACAAATCAATGTCTCTAGGTAGCAGCTTTGAACGAGAGTCGGGTTAGACCATCTCCTTCAAAGTCCAAATGTTACTTTCTATACCTCGGTACATATTGTGTGAAACCTAACATGGGATGGCATGACAAGACGTTAAGAGTAGGTTATTAGCTGAACAAACTCAAGGTGTAAGTTACCTTATTGTTTGGACCATTTATGTGTGTACGAACCTAAGTATGAACCAATAATCTGTTCCCGCCCTAGTTCTTCAAACCTATTTCTGGGAGAGCTGCCTCTAAGGTTTAGTATAATAGGTAGCAGTAAGAAGTATTATTGTAGCTGCTCTGCTTATGAATGAACTACCAAGGTAGGTATGTAACTATTAGATGTCAACAATAGAAAGTCACGGCATTCTGTTGGGACAAGACCCAATGACTGGTCCATGTAAGTGGATCTGTGGATATGGGAGCTAGAGGTACGTGGCTGTGTACTATGTATAAACAACGGTGCCCCGCCACATTTAATGCGCCACAAATCAAAGAGACTTCAACCTTGGAATCTGGGATCGAGTACTTCGAATCGGGCTGCACTCCATAGAATCACGTCGATAGAATCCCATCAACCCGTAATTTTCACACCGTCACCACACCAGCGTCAAGTTCACACGCATAACGCACATCACCCTTTTAATAATTCGAGCGCGCACGTATTTATAACTCTTCGACACTCGTCCCCAACCCAACCCAACCCAACCCACGAAACCAGAGCGGTAAAAGCTCCAGGTTACCTCGGTATCCAAGAAGCAGGAAGAAGAGTCCAGGCTATATCCGGACTCGTAGGTACGTGTTGCACCCGAAACACACACACACACCACACCTCTCGGGCGCACAGCAAAGTTCATCATGTCCTATCCGCCTCCTCCAGGCTCCAGCAATTCGCTCCCCCCGCGTCCGCCCCCCTCGCGCTTCTCCGGCTTCAAGCCAGCCTTCTCGCCCGCGCCAACCCACTCCCCGAGCCCCGGCCCCTACGCGCCTCCCGCATACTCCAGCGCGCCGACATATGCTAGCGCTCCCGCCCCCGCCAGAAGCCAGTATGGCTCCTCGTACCAGCCGTACGCGCGCCCGGGCCCCGTGACCGGCGGCTACCAACACCAATCGCAGCCAGCAGCAGCAGCAGCAGCGAATCCGTACTCGTACCCCGGCCAGCAGCACCAGCAGCAGCAGCAGCAGCAGGGCTACCAGCAGAGCTACTACAGCGCGCCGCAGGTAGCCGCCGGCACCACCGCCGCGACCTCGTATGCCGCCGCCCCCCAGATCCGCAACCCCTTCCCGGCTCCCAACCAGGCGAAGAGCGACGACTATGACCCGGATATGGCAGCGCAGATCGCGCAGTGGCAGAGCGCATATGTGAAAGATCCCACCAAGGAAGGGGGTGCTGGTGCACCAGCAACGGCAGGAGCGTCAGCAGCAGGGTCTGGAGGACGAGCAGGCTACGCCAACAGCGCGACGACGACGACGTACGCCGCGGAACCGAGTGCCAGTGCCGCCGCCGCATCAGCAGCGGCTGCTTCAGCAACGAACGGCGAGAAGAAGAAGACGGTCGTGCGATCAGGCGGTGGACAGAAATGGTCTGACGACACGCTCCTCGAATGGGACCCCTCTCACCTACGCCTCTTCGTCGGCAACCTAGCAGGCGAGACAACCGACGAATCTCTCTACAAAGCATTCTCACAGTGGAAATCCCTGCAAAAAGCGCGCGTAATCCGTGACAAAGTAACGTCCAAATCCAAAGGATACGGCTTCGTATCCTTCAGCGACCCAGACGAGTTCTTCCAAGCAGCCAAGGAGATGAACGGCAAGTACATCCAGAGCCACCCGGTCGTCGTGCGCAAGAGCACCACCGAGATCAAGCCCACCGTCGCCAAGGACAACAACCGCTGGAACAAGAACGGCAAGAACAAGAACAAGAATAAGAACCGCGGCGGTAACGGTTCTGGTGGCGGTGGTGGTGGGAAGCGCGACGACGGCCTCGAAACCCATCTTGGTCCCGTGCCGACCGGTGTGCATAAGCCGGGCCAGAAGACGAAGGGCGGGTTGAAGATATTGGGTTGAGTGAGGGGAGGAATATGTATATACCCTGCTGATGCCTACACCTGCATTGGGTGTCTAGGTAATCATTATGTTATCACGCTTAGCATGCTTTAATACCAGGCGTTCAAGACGCGCAGACTGGATCAGAAAATTCGTTTCTAGATACCAAGGAGCATATTATACTAATAAAACATGATAGAACACCAATTCGTACTTGTTGTACCTCGCACGTTGTGATATGATATATAGTATTGAGTCTTGCTACAATTTTGATCCTGTGCTAGTGCCCAATTCCACACATTAATCACCTATGATGCCAGCCTAAGCCAACTTATATATCCGTACATTAGGTATAACTAGGTGATGTTTCTATAAAACTTATCTCTACACATTCTGTAACCTACTAAACAAGCGCCTGTGTCTATATAATAGGATGTATCGTTCTTCTCTATATTTGCAATGGGGTATCTTGTTAATATGTCTGCTCATTGCTCACACTAGCCTTGTTCTGCTCCCCTTTTCTCCTACTTCTTCAAGTTTTGAATGTAGGAGATTTGCCTGCTTCTGCCCAACTGGCCCATCGGTTGGTCGGTTGATCGGTTGATTTCTACCTATTTAGTAGAAAAATGCGCGAGCCTGCCCCTTTACTAAGGGCCCATTGCTACTCCTGCTAATGCAGTGTTCGGCCTCCTACTTTTCAGGCGACTGGCTCACTTGTCCCACAGGCCCTTCTCTCGTGCGTACAGTCTTACTGTTTAACCGCCGCATTCGAGCATGCTAAATCCCACATAGATGTACAAGTTGCGCCATAATTCCTATGCTTCTATTCTGTTAATGAACCTTATACAAATGAAATGTAGCATGCGATAATCAATCTTCCCGAGAACGTTCAGTCCGATGGGGTTCCGTCGAGCTGGAGGGACCTGCATTCGGTATTATATCCCCGTCGGCTGCAAGTAGGCTATCTTCGATGCCGCTCGCTTCTTCATGAGCTAGAAGTCCCGTCTCTTCCTCGTCGGAATCACTTCCGCGTTCAAACTCGCTCGATGAACCTGATTGCGCTTGCTGGTAGCCTCGGTTATGTGCTTCCATTCGGGCGTCGTTGCGCATCTTGGACAGCTTGATCCAGTTGTATGCGCCAATAGCACAGATAGTCACGACAAGACCCGAGATGTTTATGGGCGTAAGCTTATCGTCAAAAACTAATGCTGCTGCCGAAATAGTGACCACCTCTTTGAAGATACCGGCAATAGAAAGCGTAACTACGCTGCTTCGCTGCAGCAGAGCAAATTCGCTAGCAGTCATCAAGAAAGCGATCGTTCCTGGGAAGAGGAGGATAAGAGGTGTTCTGAGAGCACCCCATTCATTGGCTAGCACCTTCAACCCCTCTATCAGCTCGAAGAAACCTTCTACCGGTACCGCGATTACTATCAGCGTGGCGAACATGACCGGCGCAAGGAAGAAGATGCTTGAGAACGGGTTTGACGTGGCGGGGTTTCGAAGTAGGAGGATCTGCGTTAGACCCCAGCGGAAGCCGGAGAAAAAGGCGGCGGATATTACGAGGATAAATCCTCCTAGTTGGAACTCGATCTCTCCTGCTACCATCATTACCACACCGGCTGTCATGGTTGCGATGATACCAACTAGCTTCCACGTGGGACTTTCGAGGCGGAAAACAAAGGCGAAGAGTAATACGAAGGCTAGGGAAGAAGATTTGCACATGGCTATAGGTATATTAGCTTCGAGGTTCTTATTATAAAACACACATCAGTACCTACTGTAAAATGTAAGGGTAATGAACTTTAGGGATGTGTTTCCAAGTCCAATATCTAACCCAGTTGCCGCGCCACACGGCCCAATTCTCGTCAAATAAAACATTTTAGTCATAATAGGACGTTCAGGCTCGGACTCGTGTCTCGATCGGCCCAGGTCGGAATTATGTTGGCCATTGTTAGGTCGTAGGGAAGGTATAAAGTATAATACTAAACTCGCAAGGGAAAATTGCACGAGCATGTGCACTGCTGTTGTAAATAAGGGGAATGCAAAATTGAGTTGGCCTGAATCGAACATCCATTTGTTGTACTATAAAACAGAGCTCTGTTAGCAATTATACGATTCGTAGTCTGAAGACACCTTATGAAAAATAGCAATTGACTTACTAAAGAGATCGAAAGCGAGAATAGATACCAGAGCCCAATTAGAACACCATTGACGACTAATTTCTTGAATACGTCCTGGTCTGCCTCTTTTCGCTCCTCGTCTGTAATCTTGTCCCGCGCAATTCTCTGGTCTAACCTCGTATTGCGCCGTCGCTTGGCTTGTTTCCTCCGCTTATCTTTCTTTGTTAGACCCGTTTCCTCGTCATCGTGCAGGTCTTCTTCAGATAAACTGTCGTCTTCCTTGCTATCCGATCTTGACGCGTCCCGACGTTGATCCTCTTCGGAGATTTTGCCTTCCAGCTCCCCTGGTCTCTTAGCGCTGGTGGAACGTGTCCGTGGAGTTCGCGAAGTAGAGGGCTGAGGGATGTTAGGGTTGGCGGTAAGGGTACTTCGGCGGCGGCGATGGCCTTGGGGAGCTATGGAATCCATCTCGATATCCTCGAGACGGCGACCGGTAGGGTTGGAGGAAGAATGGTTAGCACCATCAGACGACCAGTCTACCTTAAAGCTAGTGGTAGCGGATGATGCTGACGAGGGATTGGATAAGTCGGGGTTCGTAGAATTAGGAGTGAATACGCTTTTAACGGATAGGGTGGCGGGATGAGACGGTGAAGGAAGACTGGATATACGTCTTTGGGAAGTAAGATTATTGGACAAAGGAGTAGACATATTTTATGTGGATGTGAATAATAAAGTCAATAATAAAGTCAGTGTACGGCAGAGACTCGAAAGTGATACGCCTCAGATTAGAGATACCTAAACCAAAAGCAGCAAGCAACTGCAAGCATCATTGTGCGGAACCCCCCCTGGAAGGGACCCCTAGTCTCGTGAAGCTAACCGCAACTTTGCTTAGCGTCGGCCAACTTTGGACGCATAAAACTCGAATTGGTCCCCAATTGAACCCCCCTTTTTTATTTTATATCTAATGACAAGGACTTGGCGACTCAAATAATACCTAAACGAAGAAGCAACCGAAAGTTGATCAGTTGGTGTTGCGATTGAACAAGTCGTGGAGTCTTTTGGGGATGAGCTATATGTAGCGACTACCTAAAATCGGATCCGTGGTATTGTGTACATGTATGTATTATGCACAGCAGCCTCAAAGGTGAAATATGGGGGTCGCTCATATACATATTAGGTACACGATGTACAATGCTTTGTGTACACTGTACCTAAATATTAGGTAGACATAATACTGTCTAGATCCTATGTGTTCATTTCTGACATCTTACAATTCATATACTCAAATGATCATGAATCATATATTATTACCTACACGTCGATTTAAAAGAGCAATTGACTGTTTGAACAACTACTTCAAACCAAAATCTTCTCCCTCGTGCTCATACATAACCCGTACGACAGATCAATTTCCCCTGGCGCCACGTTGGAACGCCAAGTAAACATCCAAAAGCCAGCATTGCTTCGACCCTTGCAATTGAACTCTCACCGTTAAAAATATGGGGACCGACATCTTATGTACCTATGCACGGTGTGTGGGGCGCCGAGCAAATCCGGGGTTATGTAAACCTCCAATCCGCGTGGCGATTCCAACTTAAAAGGGCACCCGCGATCTTGATCTCATCCTGCTCATCCACGCTTAAGATCTTAGACATGTATTTGACTATTACATAGACTGTGAACATCGCGATGCTCATGCACCCCTCATGATATTCCAGAAAATTAAGGTAATTGATCACCAACTTGAAATTGTGACCTCCTAGCTTGCATACGTCCATGACTCCCGACGCAACCTCGAGACGCCCTTACGTGCTATTGTCACACCTGTCATACATAGGATTAAACGAATATCCGTATGATACAAACATCTTCTATTAGTAAACTATTTTAAATTGTATGGTCTTAGCGTAGTTAATACAGCGTAGAATACCTAAACAAGTATAGTCCCCTCATATTGTGAAGAACTACGGATTAGACAACGCTATTTTAGGTAATCTAATAGTTAGAATTACACTTAAACCCGCTTGCTTCGTATACCGAAGGCGAGTCTCCTAAAAGCAATGATAATTATCCTTCCCCCACCATCCTAAGTTTTACTCGACGAGTAGACCTATACGCCTTTGTTTAACCATACATGTAATACAAAGGGAACTAAAGAAAAAGAAAAGTTCCATGGAAGTATAGTAAGACTGCTCTAAGATAATATTTGCATCTCTTCCTTCCTATCGGGAGCAAACCTGTCCTTGTATTGGTCCCACAGCTTCTCTAGCTCGGTAATGTACTGATCATGCAGTCGGTCGACCTCCGCCTGGTCCACAACGGCCGACTGCGTAACTTTGATCGGAGCTCCGACCACCACGTTCAACGGGCGGCGGTACGGCATCAAGCCTACATCATAATTGAAAATACCTCGTCCGTGTAAGAATGGCAGGGTGAATTTCCACACCTTTAGGACAAACATCTGCAGTTTGTGTACGAGTGGGTGCTCCTTAGGATGTAGTTGGTCGTATAGGTTGTTTTCACCAAATGCGAGCACGGGTACCAGGTCCGCGCCGGTTCTAACGGCAATCCTGACGAAGCCCTTGCGCTCCTTTAGGATCAAACGCATCTGACCTGGTTGCGCTTCAAGAGACTCCCGAGCGCCACCGATAACAATGGTGACGGCGCGGCCCATGCCCTCTCCATTCGGGCCGCCTTTTGTCAGGATGTTGACAATGGATTCTTTCGAAACTGATCGTAACCCTAAGGCTAGGATATACTCGCGATACAGTGGAATGCGGAAGTTCGAGTCCAATGTTAGAACACTGTTCGTGATACCGGGAAATTTCTTAGAGAAGCCTAGAGCCTCGGTGCCGAAAGCCGCCATCGCGCCATGGGAGATAATACCATGTGGGTGGTAGCCAAAGATATACTTCCGAGTGGGCGGTAGATCGTGAGTTTTATGAAGCTTGGCTGGGAAGTAGTCCGCGAAGAGATGCCACATGTAGCTTTTGCGGAACCATTCGGATCGGTATCTCAACGATCCATCCGTAGCAGCCTTCGAGCTCAACACATGTAGAAGGTATACAAGCAGCAATGGCCAAGC